TCAGCTCCGGGAGCGGGGATGGGAAGTAACGCCAACCTCAACACGTTGTTGCCCAGATGAAACACGGAAATAGAAAAGTAATTTAAAAATAAAGAAGATAATACAATATAATATGTAAAATATAAAAAATAAATCAACTGAAATAAACATAAAAATTAAAATGCAATATAACATATAAAATGTTGAAAACTGTAAACAATTTAAAAGCAAAACGAATATAAAATAAAATATTTAAAAACAAGCGAAATAAATAAAAACGTATAAATAAGATAAAAATAAAATAATAAACATAAAAAACTAACAAAATAACAAAATATTAAAAATAAAACAGGCCGGGCGGGTGGCTCACGCCTGTCATCCGGCACTCTTGGCAGCCGAGGCGGGCGGTATGCTCAAGGTCAGGATATCCGAAACAGCCTGAGCAAGGAGCGGAGACCGTCGTTTACTAAAAATCAGAAAGAAATTAATTTGACCAACTTAAATATTGATATTACATAAAAAATGAAGCCGGGCATGGTGGCGCACGCCTGCAGTCCAGCTACCGGAGGCTGAGGCAGGAGGCTCGCTCGAGCCCAGGAGTTTTGAGGTTGCTTGTGAGCGAGGCTGACGCCACGGCACTTCACTCCAGCCCGGGCAACAGAGTGAGAACTTTCTCAAAAAAAAATATATATATAATATATATAATAATAAATAATAAAAAATAAAATAAAAATTAAAAAGATAAAACAAAATAAAGCGGCGCGTGGCTCACGCCTGTAATCCCTAGCTCTTGGGAGGCCGAGGTGGGCGGAATTGCTCGAGGTCAGAGTTCAAAAACAGCCTGAGCGATAGCGAACCCCGTCTCTACTATAAATAGAAGAATTATTGGCCACTGATATTATATATAAAAATTACGCGGGCATGGTGCCGCAAGCCTGTAGTCCAGCTACTCGGGAGCTGAAGGCAAGGAGGATTCACTCGAGCCAGGAGTTTGACGGCTGCTTGTGAGCGAGGCTGACGCCGACGGCACTACTTCTAGCCCTGGGCAACAAAAGCGAGACTGTTCAAAAAAAAAAAAAAAAAAAAACAACAAAAAAAAACATAACAAAATAAAATAAAAGATAAAAGGAGATAAAAAATAAGATATAAAAATAACGAGGAAGCAAATATCACAAGAAGAATACAAAAAAAATAAACAACATAAAAACAAATAATAAATAAAAGAATAAAAAAAAGAACTGAAAACATAAAACCAATAAGATAAAACACAAACAACAGAGGTCACATACTCAGTGAAAGCCAGAACGTGGACCACTCCGGCAATTTTTAGTCCTTGGTTATAAAAACATTAAAAAAGATAACAAAACAAAAATAAAAAATATAAGGAATAAAAAAGGAAATAAAAAAATAAAAACATAAAAAATAATGAGAAACCAAAACATCAAAAAAAACACAAAACAAAAATATAAAACAATAATAAAAAACGAAATAAAAACATAAAAGAATAAAAAAAATAAAGAACTAAAAAACATTAGAAAAGCAATAAAGAATAAAACAACAAATCAACAAAGAGACCGACACACTCAGTGAAGCCAGAACGTGGACCACTCCAGCATTTTTTAGTCCTTGGTTAAAAATAACTAAAAAAACACAACAAATAAAACAGATAAAAAGCAAAGAACACGCACACGGCGCTCACGGTCGCTGCTTTATTTCCACTCGTCGTCGTCGACACGGGCTTTTCTTTTTTTTTTTTTTAAGAAAAAAAGACAGCCAAAAGCAAAAACCGAAAAACCCC